ATGCCGCTTTTTGCTGTTGGAAGATAAGGGTTTTTTTCCGGTGGTTGAAAAGTTTATTGTGAGATAATAACTTAAGGTTGTTTTTCTTTTTTTCTTCTTAGAATATTGTACCAACACCGGTGAAAATCAGTTTAATCAATATGCTGTCAGAGACAGGGCTTCAGGTTATAGAGGCTACCAGCTTTGTTTCCCCCAAATGGGTTCCTCAGGTCAGTATTCAAACGGGATTTACAATTGTATGTTGTAAAAATGCCTAATTAAATAGTCATCCAATGAAAAGATTCGCTTGCTCAAAAATCCTTCTACAGTGGCTTGTAACTGGGCAAGAAGCAGCAAAGCCAAATAAAGGAGTTTGCAATATCCCAGACCTTCCCTTCAGACCCTGCGAAAGAGCAAACCTACAGCTCAAATGCAAACAGCTGTTTGCGCACATGTTGGCGCTGGCTTGGCTGGGTGGCTGAACTATGATTCTTCACGGGGTGCAATGCTGTTTGCTCTTTAGAGGCCTGTTTCTCTTATTAAATATTGCTGTCCTAGTTCGTAAAATTAAATTATTTTTATAATCTGTAGAAGTGGATGTTGTCACCCTTAGAAACCTTTCCTCTTTTACTTTGCAGATGGCTGACCACACTGAAGTCATGCAAGGAATTAATAAGTTGCCTGGCATTAGTTATCCTGTGCTGACCCCTAACCTGAAAGGATTTCAGGCAGCGGTAAGAGATCGCAGCGTCAGAACGTTCTCGGTGTCTCATGCACAGGGTTGCTTACGAGGGAGCATTTCAACTGTGGTTAAGGGTGGGAAGCGTGTCTTGCATTGTGGCAGGCAGTGGTCTCATGTTTGTAGTTCTTTTACAAGGGATTGTTTTGCTGGGGAAATAGAAACCTGTTGTTCATAATAGAAAAAGACCTTGATGTATTTTCTATTATTAAAAAAAAGTAATCTGTTTTAATTGACAGTGATGCTTTCAGTCTTATCTGCGTGTCCCATCCAGCAGGTGTAGCTTTACTGCTGCATCTGTAACTTTACGCTTCCTTTGAAGACAAACTTGGATGTGTTATATTTTTGCTGTAGAATGAAGTAAGAATTGGGTCATTCTGGGAAGAATTGGGGACAAAATATTTTTTATAAAATGAGAGAACTGTAGTTGTAGTTGTGCTTGTCGTTTTCCTTGCAAGAGAAATCAGCTCGCTTTAATTTATGCTTTCTGTTGGCAGGTGGCAGCAGGGGCCAAAGAAGTGTCAATCTTTGGGGCAGCATCTGAGCTATTCACTAAGAAGAACATCAACTGTTCCATAGAGGAGAGTTTGGCAAGATTCGATGAAGTGATGATGGCAGCAAGAGCAGCCAGCATTCCTGTCCGGGGGTAAGAAGTTCCTGCTGCAAACTTACCATTGAGCAGGTTGTGTGGAGAGGAGAGGTGTGACTGCTTCAGTTTATCTCTTTGGAGTCCAGCTCATGAAGCACCAAGGAGTGGGATTTCTTTTAAACTTTACCTTTTTTTGAGGAGTGTCTCTCTATCTGGATGGGTGTAAGCAGATGCGAGCTCAGCACATTGAAAAGCGTTCATTTGGAAACACCACCACACTAACACAGTTTCAGATGCTGGCTTGGTGCAAAGCCTGTACTGCTTGTGACAGTTTACGCTCTGCCAGACGGATTCACCCTTCATGTAATTATTCTGTCTTAAGCTTTACCAAAATATCCAAAATAATACTAGCTTCTTGGCAGACATTCCATGTGGAAATGTGTAGATCCACAAAACTTAACAGTCCTGTGTACTCCTGTCTTGGCAAATTTTTCATGTCCATGGAAGAAGTAATTGTTGAGTAGTTAATTATGTAAGCTTCATCCACCGGACTGATTTTTAGAATATGAAATTAATTCTTCCATTGTGCCTGCAAGATGCAGCACAAGTCCTGACTAATTTGGCCAGTATAATCGCACTTCGTTCTCTAGCTAAAAGTGCGTTGTTTTTTTTTAACCATAGATATGTTTCCTGTGTCCTTGGATGTCCCTACGAAGGGAAGATTTCTGCAGCTAAAGTTGCAGAGGTGAGTTCATCATAAATATAACCAGAATTTCTGAGAGGTTTTTGGCTCCCATTAATGGGTGTGAATTGGGCACTGGGTGCTGGAGGATGTGTCAAGGCATTTAACCAAAGACTGGGGAAGGTTACAGCTAGATGAAATGAATGGGGGAATTCAGGGAGAAGAGTCCGTTGTCCCCAGGGCTGTTGTGCTCCAGGGAATCACACTCCAATTCTTCTGTACAGTGGGTCTTCAGCTCTGGGGAAGGTGATGACAAAGCTGCCTTTTCAGTTAAACATCTTGGCTTTTGGACAGGTCTCAAAGAAGATGTACTCGATGGGATGCTACGAGATTTCCCTCGGTGACACCATTGGCATTGGGACCCCAGGGAGCATGAAGGAGATGCTGACTGCAGTCATGAAAGAGGTGCCAGTTGGGGCTCTTGCTGTTCACTGCCACGATACCTATGGGCAAGCTCTTGCCAACATCTTGGTAGCGCTTCAGGTAAGATTCTTGCTTTGAAGTACAGCATCCTTCCTCAAGTTTCTCCTGTGCTTGCTTGTGAACCATAGATTTGAAGAGCAGGACCACAGTTTGTCCTTTAAGAGGAGTTTTCTGATAGTGGTTTTGTTTGCAGATGGGTGTGAGCGTGGTTGATGCTTCCGTCGCTGGCCTTGGAGGCTGCCCCTATGCCCAAGGAGCATCAGGAAACGTTGCGACAGAGGACTTGGTGTACATGCTGAGTGGCCTGGGGATCCACACGGTAAGCACGAGCAGGCTTTGCCTGCAGCAGCAGAGTCTCTCACACAGTGACTCTGGTTGGGCTTCAGCGAGGGTTCAAAACTTGGCCCAGGGAGCCTGGGCATAGCAGGTGCAGCTGCAGGATCACTCTGCCTGCAGGTCAGCCAGGCTGGGCCTGAAGGCCTTGTCTTGCTGCATCAATCCCTCCCAGCATTTCTTCCTCTCCCTGTTTCAGTGCTCTGCAATTTGACCCTCAGAATCACACTAATGAGCAGCAGGCACTCAAGGCCTTGTTAAAATACTCTCCAGGCTCCCTCTCCCCCTGCTAGTCTCTCCCAGTGATGCCAGTTGTTACTGGGCGGCTTTATGTGGTAGAACCGGTACCAAGACATGTCGTATCTTTTTTTTTTCCCCCGTGAAGGGTGTGGATCTGCAGAAACTGGTGGACACAGGCACATTTATTTGCAATGCTCTCAACAGACGAACCAATTCCAAAGTTTCCCAGGCATCTTGCAGGCTGTGATACTGAATCAAGTTTCACTTTGGATCAAGAAGAAAGCAAGGATCTGATGTTGGCTGGGTTTCCTCTCCGTTCTGCTGCCTCTGATCTTCAGTGCTCCTTCCAGGCTCAGCGCTTGAGAGGAAATGCATAATCCACTAGAATCAATGAAGAAATGAGAAAAATGAGAAAAATGAGACTACTGTATTCAACCTTGAAGATGTTAGCCATTTGCCTTAGAGAAGGGAGGACGTGGATGGGCTGGGGGAGAAGCAGCGGACACAACGCTTGCTGTTCTGCAGAGGACAGAGCGCTACAGTCGCCGGCACCGGCTCAGTACAGTTCTGGTAACTTCTGCCTCGAGAGTGTGTTGCCATAAACTACCAGCAAAGGATAAAAACACAGCTTTTCCGGTTAGAGCACTTCTCCAGGTCAGCAGTGCTTCTTCCCTTCTCTTTCCTTGCTACAAACGTTAAGACAGAAATCAAAAGGCTCCCCTTTGTAATTCCAGTGTAGGGGCAGCCTTGGACGTTCTGTAGTAGCATTTAGGGACTGTAATAAAGGACTGTATCTGTTGTAAGATACTTTTAAATACTAGGAGTAATAAACACATTATTTAATATTCTAAACTATTAGAAATTTGGTTTAACTAAACCAGTTAAAGAGATTTGGTTCCAAGTGCCTCTTCAACTGGCCCTCAACGTGGAAACGCTGCATCATTGTGGGCCGTGGGCGTGAAATACGCTTAGTTTGTACATGCATGTACTCCTCACGGTAGACAGGGAAGCATCCCCCAATCTTCTATTTAAAATAATTTATTTAATAGTTTATTTGTGAGGCTGGAGACAAGTGCAGAGCCCCCGTGGGGTGGGCCTGGTTTGTAGCTGTGTGCTGCACCTTTCTCTGAGTGTCCCACGCGCTGCTTACAGGACCGTCTCTCTGGGTCTCTCTACATCACTTCAATAAGCTGTAACAATTAAATAAACCGGAACACTGAAATAAGCTGGAATCGGTGAATCAATCCGTGCGCTTATCCCGGGGCTCGGTGCACTCCTCTCGCCGTCAGGGGGCGCGGCGGGCTC